CCCCCCTCCTTCCCCAGGGGGTAAACGTGAGACCCTAGGGTCATAAACATTAAGACCCTTCCATCTATGAAGAGCATTTGATTCTACCATATCTACGTCTTGAGAAGAAGAATTTTGAAATCTCAGTCAATTCAACCCTTTTTTGCCATCAGCCCCCGGGGGTCAGTCAGGGCTCATATGTGCTTATTATCAAACTGCTACCTAATACTGATAATGCTAACCCAAATTGATTTACTTCCAATGGAAATTAAACAAATGTTGGTCCAAAATGTGATTTCCCTATATAAACTATAGTAAAGTTTACCCCCTCCCCAGGTAGAAACGTGAGACCCCAGGGTCATGAAATTCACAATTTCGGTAAAGCACCTTAAGACCCTTCCATCTATGAAGCGCATTTGATTCTACCATATCTGGGTCTTGAGAAGAAGATTTTTGAAATTTTAGTCAATTTGACCCTTTTTGACTCCGCCCCTCAGACCCCTTGGGGCTTGGGACTAAACCGGCCTCTATTGTTGTTGACCTTTGTCCATGGAAGGTCCCTGCAAAATTTCATTGAAATTGGCTCAGGGGTTTAGGAGAAGAAGAATTTTGAAATTTTAGTCAAGTTGACCCTTTTTGGCCCGCCCCTCAGGCCCCTAGGGGCTTGGGACTAAACCGGCCACTGTTTTTGTTGACCTTTGTCCATGGAAAGTCCCTGCAAAATTTCATTGAAATTGGTTCAGGGGTTTTGGAGAAGAAGTCGAAAATGTAAATTGTTTACGGACGCACGACGGTCGACGGACGATGGACGACGACGGAGAAAAGGCGATCGCAATAGGTCACTTGAGGCTTTGTCTCAGGTGACCTAAAAAAACTAATTTTTTATTGTTCCGTTCGAATTACTTCCCAAAGTTGTTAAGAAATGCAAAATGGCGGACAAATCGACGTTGACGACCAACAAATGATCATGTCAAGCTTCAATCACATTGTATAGGGATAAAATGTTCGAAAAACATTTTTGTTTTGTCCCAGAGATTCGATCACGATATATCAACCTATGAGTTCCATCCAAAAAAAGTACAAGAAACTGATCCTAAACATGTTTGCCATCTTATTTTGAACTTTTATGCAACAATGTCATGAGTTTCTTGTTACGAATCAGAATTATATTATAAAATAGTGTATACAATTCGCAGCAAATTGTTATTTGGAGGGCTTTACGCTAACCGGTTCTCCGTTTATCATGGGTTTTTTTGTGGTATACGACTAGTCTAACAAATGAAGGGTCGAAGGCTTTATCTTGCATTAAATGTTTACATCTTTACATATGTAAAACCGCTAGCTTTATGTTCAACACGAAGAAAGTGTGACATTTGACTGTGTTTTAATTCAATGCCGGCTCAAAGGCAACTCGGTACTTGAGCCAACATTTGCCGAAACCTTCAATTAAGGTGACTTAAATGGAAATTCAGAAACTTTAAAGGCAATCGAAGTGTTGTATATCTTTCAAATTTCATATACGAACTTCCATACAATCAGCAGAAAATTATCGTTCGCGAGATCTTCTTCCTAAACGGAAGTGATGATGCGGAGTCAGTAGAGCTGATATATATGTATTTCATTCCGATCTTGTGATGAATTGTTTGTGACTACGAATTTGTTCCCACACACCGATATAGCCCTGGGTTCGTCAATACCATCCTTTGACGTCAGAAGTTCTTTGACTTTGGTACCATAAGCGGAGACCTGTAGCACTTTGTTGGAATCTTGACCACAGACATACACATTTCCCTCACTGTCTACGTCTACCCCCATCGCATTCTCGACTACCCTCTCATCTAAACCATATATTTGGATACCATTGGGCAGTCTGGTAACCACGATATCATCCATTGTAGAGGTTTGCAGACAGGCAAATGTTTTATTCTTTTTAAGATCAGATGCAAGATTCCAGCACGGTGAGGACAATGTCTGAACTTTCTCTACCTTACCGTCCATTGTCACGCTATGGATGTCTGTCGATGTGCTCACCATGAAATGTCCATCCATGAACGCCAAACCTTGACATTTTATGTCCTCTGGCACCTCTATCACTGTCGATAAGGTCAGCTTGGACGGCTGTACTTTCACGACATGTATGCCGACATGACTATTAGTTACAGCAACTGCCACTGTGTCATCATCCACTGAGCAAACATCATGTGGGTATCCACTGATTTCCAATTCGTCCAAAAACTGTCCTTTAACAGAAAACAATTTCAGTTTATCGTTTTGATAATCACTTACAATGATGTTTCCAGTCGGCATCAACAAAACTCCGTGAGCTGTACAATCGTCTTCATCTGACGGAATCCTTATCATGCATTGTCCTAACTTCTTGACGCGATTATTCAATAGCCAGTCGACATTTCGTATGTACTCAACACCGTCAGGTATGATACATGGTTGCTCCTCAACTAGGATTCTTCCCAGGGTCAGAGTACTGTACTGATCGATTGTAATGTGGCTCGAGTCGATGTCGTGTTTCACATTGACTGACTTTAATGAATGTGTAATATCATCAATAACATCATTACACGCTCCAATCTCTGTTTGACCTCTAATAAATAGTTGTGTCATCTCAAGGTGATCGTCCATCCGAACTGCTGTCATGAACGCTTCTTTTGTGCTCTGAATAACGACCCTCAGTCGGCTACATTTCTGCTTTGATATATCAACGTTATTTTTCGCAGCTTTGTATTTGGAAATCATTTCTTGAGTCATCTCCTCCTGCTTTTTATCAAGATATTTGTCGATACTTTGACGCAGATCTACAACACTGCTCAAGCCAACATCCTGACATTGTTGCATGGATTCGATCTGTTTGTCGATAGCGTTTATCATCAATTCTATGCACTTTGATGCGTTTTCGAGGGATTTGCCCATGTTATCAAGCTGGGATTTTTTCTTCTGATTTTCACAATACTCTCCGATTGTCATCACTACGTCGCAGCGTCGATGCTCTGTGATAATGCATTTGTGGCATCCGATGAACTTATGATCTTCACAATAATAGTCTATTTTCTCGAGGTGTAATGAACATGCCATTGACCATGGTTGTTTCCATGTCACATTATGATTTGCCTCATCAAGAGTCACACTGTCACATATCTCGTGAAAGACATCATGCACATTAACTGTACACAGTTTGCAAAACAACATACCATTCATTTTACACAACATCGTAGCCGGTGTTTCTAGGTTTTTTGTCTTTTTGCAAGGACCACAATAACGTTGTGCATATGATATCCTTGTTCGTTTTGTATATTCCTGAACCAAACTGTTGGTCGGAAACTGTTGTGCCCACGTCTCTTTACCCTCAGAGTGGTTGACAGGCGATGTGATCTTCCTACATACAGGACAGGGGAAGGACGTCACGGCAGCCATCTCACCAGACAAGTCTGTGACGATGTAGGTGCTAAGACATTCCTCACAAAAGGAATGTAAACATGGGAGAGACTTTGGACTTCGCATCTGCTCCAGACAAATGGGACATTCGAGAAGTTGATAGGTCAAGGCAGTGTTGTCTTTGTTCAGTTGTTCTACTGGTAGAGATCCACCTTCCGCCATCACTGCAGGGAGCTCTCTGTATTCATCTGAAATTTAAGTGAAATAATTAAATATATTGTATTGAAATGCAAAATGTATGATTGGCCTATATAACTCACTTGTTATTCATCTCGCATGTCAGATGTTCATAGAAGGCAGAGTAAATATGTATCCAAAAACGTTAAATATCATAACATATTATGGATCTTCGTTGGAATATTTATTTCTCTACAATTTACAAATCATCGGTGTTAGATTTTAGCCAACGGAATTAATGTGACCCCCGTGTAGTTATAGGTCATTCGACTATATTCCACACACTTCACATCAGTTTGGTAATTTTCTAAGCATAGGTCGTTTGATGTCTCGGACGAAATAGTTTCAGCAAAAGTGGTCCCTGTTACCTACAAAATGGGTCTATGTCAGTCGATGGAACAAACTAAATAGCCTTTATCTGATCATTCTATATGCCAATTATCAATCATCCCTACAGCATGTTGATTGAACAGAAATCGATTGACAAATAACACATTTCATTTTTGTGACTTTGAAATCAGGCCAAAGTAATGTATTTGATGAAATATATTCCTTCCTAATACTTCTCTATTACTCAGAGGGGGTCTTCTTGCATGTACATTTTACGAATTGTATCCTTTTGACCATAACATTGAGTTAAGGTTATATATTTTAACAAAATTGGTAGACCTGTATACAATGATGTTACCTTTCTAATATTACCCTAGCTCTCTTGGTTATTCAAAATAAGTCGTTAAAATATTTTGAAAATGGTTTAAATAACTTTATCCCCTGTAGCTTTTGAAGGCAGGTCCAGGTTATTGATTTTATAAAAAGCTAAAAGCTCATTATCCTGGATTGATACGGATAAAATATCATCACTCTACGCATCTTGGTTGGTAAGGAGGAGTTTTGTTTAAAGGTTTAACGGTTTAAGCAAAATTTATTTACATCGACCTTGATATTTGGTTAATGTACTTTTTTCGAACACGCTTTTATTTTTTTATTTCAGTATAATATAGACTTACTATAATAACCATTGGCATCATGGTAGAAGAAGATGTTTAATTGTTTTAACAAATTACACCCTTAGGGCCATAACAATTTTGGGTAGATGCTATTCATTCTTCGTTATTTAGGAGAGCCTTAATTTACAGGTTTGAACAAAGTTGACCCATGTGACCTTGCAAATTAGACTAGAGGATTTATATAAACACAATCCGGATAAATATTTCAAAATCGGATGTCGATAAATGATTCTACTCATACAAGTTTTTAAAAATATGTCACTTGTATTTAAATCAACATGTCAAGTGGAAAGGAATCACGTTCATGCATTTCAAAACGTGATGATCCTTCATCCAAATACTACCGGCTAAATATCATCATCTTGGTTATTCAGAATAAGTCGTTTAAATAAGATGGTTGACACCGAACGAAAGGAACGCAGGCGCCACACAATCCCATAAGCACAGGGCACTTAAATCTAGTCGAGTTACTGGACGTGCAACACTGTATTTCTGACCTCTGCCCTTTGACACTATAGATTCAATATTATTGTGTAGAAAGGTGCAGATTCACGAAGACGAAAATGGTGAAATCAACACTTATTTGATCAAATTTCAATGCGAATGCTTTCATCAAGTTTAGGCTAGTTATTTTCCATAAAAGTTATGAAGCTTTCTCTTGCAGGTCATACAACAGAAGCCGTTTAGTTTGTGAGCCGTTGTGCAGCTTTCTTTTCGTCACATTGATTCATGGAATTTCCATGGGTTAGTACTTTCGCTTTCGATAGGCACACTTGAGAAAGCATATGTGAAGTATACAGTGTATCATATTTTTTATTTTTTTATTTGCATTAAAATTTGGGAAGATCAAATAAAGATAAGTTACTTTTAATAACAGCTCTATCTTATTACAGTCAGTATATGAACAATAGCGAATTGACAAGACTGATAATAGATTGTAATTATTTACCCGAGGAACCAACAGCGTTAGTTTCAATCCTTGATTTACCCTTGTTTTCAAACATCTGTTTATAATAGTTTGGAATTAATAAATGTATATGAGTTGAACATTAACAAAGAATCAAAAGTAAGATACAAATAATAATCGACCATCACGGGTTTTAGGCACCTTTGCCTCCCACAACCTTCAAATTATATATCTAGAAAAAAACATGTTTCTCTTAGGTAATACCACAAGTTATGCCTGACCTTTGCCCCTAGATACTATAAACATGTTAGTTATTTCCGATACAATTTATGCAATATTCTCTATAATATCTAGCAACAGAAGAATTTAGAGTGTGAGTTATTGTGTAGCGTTCCTTTTGTCTTGCTATTCATGGAATGTCTATGGTTTAGTACTTTCACTTTCAATATGCATATTCCAGAAATCATATGTAAAGTAAACGGTATTATTATATTAAATCGTTTTACATCTGCAATGAAAATGTAATATATAAAATTCAAATTATGGAATTCAATGAGGCACGGTAGTCTAGCGGTAGGACGCCGGGCTAGTGACCGAAGGGTTGCTGGTTCGAGTCACGACACGGCAATGTGTTGCATCTTTGTGCAAGATATTTACTCCCCTTGTTCCAGTCCACTCAGTTGTAAATGAGTACGTGGTTAGGCAGTGTTGGAATTGTTGAATGATAGCTGTGAGCACCGAAATGACAGCTCCGGCTGTATGCTTCCCAGGAAGTTGAGAAAGATATTGGCTGGTTGCAAAGGCCTTATAACCACGGATAATAATTTGTGAACCTAGGTTGGGATTATTATTCAAACTATAGGCCCAAGTTCTAATTACAGCCATTAACTTTAAACAACTATAGACTATTCCTACTACTGCAAGTTAAGAACTGTATCCATGGCGGTATGGTATATATTATTATTACAGTGTATATATAGAACATGACTCAACGAAACTACGATGTCTGTGATAAGCTAAGATTTCCTCAAGGACACATTACACCCTCCATATACTGGTATGTTACGACGTTTTTCTGTAAATAGGTTCCTAATTGGTTAATTGGTTAATTGGTTTTCTTATTCAACGAGTCCGTAGTAACGAAAAAACTGAATCCGGATAAATATTTCAAAATCGGATGTCAATAATTGATTCTATTCATACAAGTTTTTAAAAATATGTCACTTGTATTTATATCAACGTGTCAAGTGGAAAGGAATCTCGTTCATGCATTTCAAAACGTTATGGTCCATCATCATCTTGGTTATTCAGATTAAGTCGTTTAAATAAGATGGTTGACACCGAACGAACGGACCACAAGCGCCACACAATTCTATAAGGCCATGGCAGTTAAATCTAGTCGAGTTACTGGTAGTGCAAAACTGTATTTCTGACCTCTGCCCTTTGACACTATAGATTCAATATTATGGTTTAGAAAGGTGCAGGTTCACGAGGACGAAAATCGTGAATTCAGCACTAATTTGATCAAATTTCAATGCAAATGCTTTCATCAAGTTTAAGCTAGTTATTTTCCATAGGGTTATGAAGCTTTCTCTTCCAGGTCATACAACAGAAGCCGTTTAGTTTGTTAGCCGTTGTGCAGCTTTCTTTTTGTCACATTGATTCATGGAATTTCCATGGGTTAGTACTTTCGCTTTCGATAGGCACACTTCAGAAAGCATATGTGAAGTATACAGTGTATCATATTTTTATTTTTTTATTTGCATTAAAATTTGGGAAGATCAAATAAAGATAAGTTACTTTTAATAACAGCTCTATCTTATCACAGTCAGTATATGAACAATAGCGAATTGACAAGACTGCTAATAGAATTTAAAGTGATCCGCAGCCATCATTCCTACCACTTTATGTTAAAAACCTTTCCAATACCGGTAAAGTACGTTATTAGTATTACAATGTATACATGGAACATGACTTACCCAAACTACGATGCCTTTGATAAACTAAGATTCCCTGAAGGGCATGTTACACCTTCCATGTACTGGCATGTTACGACGTGTTTAAGTCTTAGCGGAACACCCAACGGGTATCTAATACAACGAGTCCGTACAACGGAGAGACGGAATTCGGATATATCTTAATAAATTAATAAATTAATAATCATTCTATTTATAATTATTCATACAAATATAAGAAGATTTGGCACTTGTATGTATATCAAATATCTGTGTAGTTTTTCCGGCAAATTAATCAATCATCAATACAAACATTGAATGCTTAAGGTAGACTTGTACAAGTCCCTGAATGCTATTGTTGTGTATTAGGGGGATAACTAAACAGTAAATCACTGTATGCTTATAGTGTGTCAGTAATACGATGGTGTCTGCCATACTACCGTTTCAATTTTTTATTATAGGCGTGACATTAAAGTAGTCCTTTGTTGCTTTTACAGTAAGTAGAAAGATTAAAATGCATATTCTTCGTCTGACTGATAATATAAAACCCAGTTGATTGTAATTATTTACCCGAGGAACCAACAGCGTTAGTTTCAATCCTTGATTTACCATTGCTTTCAAACACCTGTTTATAATAGTTTGTAATTAATAAATGTATATGAGTTGAAATTTAACGAGGAATCGAAAGTTAGATACACATAATAATTAACCATCACGGGTTTAGGGGGCGCGTCTAATTACCAAATACTACCCAATACCACCGAATACTACCCAATACCACCCAATACTACCCAATACTACCCCATACGATCCAGTTATGAACCAAATACTTCTTTATTACCGTGAAATATCACCTTTGTAGACGTTATTTATTTCCATCTGCTATATTTTATCGGGAAATATGCGATTTGGTGCCGAAAACATCACTGAATTGCCGTGACTATGACCCAATACTACCCCATACCACGGAATTAGATTAGATCTAAGTCCGTGCCCATACCACCCAAAACTACCCAATACCACCCAATACTACCCCATACGACCCAGTTACATGTATGAACCAAATACTTCTTTATTACTGTGAAATATCACATTTCTTAGCCTCCCACAACCTTCAAATTTTATATCTAGAAACAACACATGTTTCTCTTAGGAATACATTATTCCTGTTTCCGAGGAGGGAAACATTTGTTATGAACTATGACGTCACAATGGATGATGACGTCGCAAAGTATTGTCACCTGACGTCATAGTTAGATGATTGACCAATGAAATCACGTCCAGCGTGTGACCAACTAGTGGGTAACCAAAAATATTTACCAACTCCTAGCAGGTTTATAGCCAATGCGTCAGAAGCGAGGAAACATATACCGATTAAGGGGGAAATCAAATATCTGTGCATTGTTTTACGTTACTTATTAATATAGTATCATTTTTTACTAGTATTATTATTATAATTGTATTAATTTACAAAGTGAATTTACACAACGCGAAATACACTACATAATGATTGTAACACTAAACATTATAGCTTCTGATTAGATTATGATAGATATATTACTGTTATTGATATGTGATTTATATCAAGAAACATTTTACATATTTTTGTAGATTATTTATTTTAAAACCGCTTTGTAAAGATGGAAACAAATCATCTGTATTTCCTTAATCTTTTATTAATAGTACAATACTTAAACATTTTAAGCATTATTCAAGAGTTGTCTTTCCTACTACGAAAAAGGTGTTTCTAACAAACTTCTGTTCCATCCAACGAGCTAGCTTGATAATGAAATGAAACCTTTTAGTTTATAACTTCATAATTCATTTCATATATACTTGAATTTTCTTTTTTTTGGTTTAGTTTGTGAGCCATTGTTCAGCGTTCATTTTGTCATATTGATTCATGGAATCTCCATGGGTTAGTACTTTCGCTTTCAATAGGCACTCTCCAGAAATCATATCGGAAGTATACAGTGAATTATATTATCTAATTTTTTTGTTTCTAAATTTGCATTGAAGTTGGGAAAGATCAAATAAAAATAAGTTACTTTAAATAACCGGCCTATCTTATCACAGTCATTATATGAACAATAGCTAAATGACAAGACTGCTAATAACATTTAAGTGACCCGCGGCAATCATTATTACCACTGTATGTTAAAAACCTTATCAATACCGGTAGAGTACCTTATTAATATTACAATGCATACATGAAACATGACTTACCCACACTACGATGTCTTTGATAAGCTAAGATTGCCTGAATGGCATGTTACACCCTCCATGTACTGGCATGTTACGACGTGTTTCAGTCTTGTCAGATAACACAACGGTTATCTAATACAACGAGTCCGTATAACGGAGAGACTGAATTCGGATTATATCTTAATAAATTAATAAATTAATAATCAATTTATTCTTTATTATTCCTACAAATATAAGAAGATCTGCCACTTGCATTAATGTCAAATATCTGTGTAGTTTCTCCGGCAAATTTATCAATCATCAATGCAAACATTTAATGCTAAAGGTAGACTTGTACAAGTCCTTGAATGCTATTTCTGTGTATTAGGGCGATAACTAAACAGTAAATCACTGTAAGCTTACAGCATGTCAGTAATACAATGGTCTCTGCCTTACTACCATTTCAATTTCTAGTATAGGCGTGATATTAAACTAGAATGTATACATTGTTCGTTCTTAATGAGAAAGTCATACATCCGAATACCTATATAAATAGTAAAAATAAATTTCTTATCATATCGCTTTTATGGATATATGCGTAGTATCGTTTGAAATAAATGGATCCATTTGAAATTAAGGTATATTTATTGCATTATAAATAGTTTCAAACGACACTTATGTACAAGATGAAAATACATGTATAGCAAAAATAATAATGTATTCCATACTTGAGTTTAAGCTGGTGCATTTCATGGAAATATATTAAAAGGAAAAAATAGGGGAAAACTACAGCAAGATAAGGGGGAAACAAGGATAAGAAATGCGGGTTTCAGCGGGCCATATTTCATATTGAGTATCGTTTTCAGTGTGAGTAGCAAAGAAGAATTTCTTTTCGTGTATGTGATATTTTATCTAGGTGATATTTTTTTCGGCTGTAGGATTATATAATTTCGACAACGGTAACTTTGGCAATGTAACAACTTTCTAAAATATGAATAAAGGGAAAACCGTATACAGTGACCTTTAAAACTGACTGAATAAAATAAGATCGGAATAGCGGTTTCTACGCAATCAACGACGTCTCTAACGTAAATCTAGGTCAAGTATAAACAATGTCCATTCCTCGAACTGAAAACTTTGGTAGACACAACGAAAAACAACTTTTTTCTCACCGAGATCATGAGGGCGATCACACGAGTTGCCGTGGTCTTCGTCAGCTCTCGTCTCTTCACATTTGCGATCATTCACGAAAATCGCAATATTCGGGACAAGCTCCTAAATGGAACCAACTGCGAGTCGTTAACAACTTGTGACAGAAATTCAATATAAGGTTTCTAATTGACGTTTGGTACCTGAAATGATAACCACAGAAACATATTCCCAAAATAAGGGGCTATTCTACAAATTGATAAAATGTATCCTGGACCAAAAGAAACCACGAAGAAACAAAAAAGAAAGTATTCTTTGTTCCTCTTAAAGTAAATAGAATGATTAAAATGCTTTTTCTTAGACTGACTGATAGTAACAAATCCAGTTGATTACAAACTTTTTCTCTAGGATCCAACAGCGTTAGTTTCAATCCTCGATTTACCATTGCTTTCAAACACACAATTATATATTGTAATATTATCTGATTATGTAAATTCTTCCGATTGTATTGGTATTCATTAAATTTGAAATCTTTGTCTTCGAAATTAAATTAATAATCCTGTCGATATTTGGTAAAAGATAAATAATAGATAGTTCTCGTTTCGCGTCGTTCCATAAACTTTAGGTATCAAACTGACCCTTTCATTAAATGGAATATAGTCCTTATCACTACGCGATGTTTTTCACTATGTCTTTTACAATTTAAAAATGTACCTATGATCGAGAGTTAGATCATTAACCATCACGGGTTTTGGGAACTTTTCCTCTCACTACGTTCATAAATCAATTCTAGAAAATCATATGTTTCTCTTGGAACTATGACGTCACAATGGAAGATGACGTCCCAAAGCATTACCCAATAATTAGAAGATTGACCNCCAGTGGCCGTAGTCTTCGTCATCTTTCGTTTCTTAGCATTCGCGATCGTTCACGAAAATCGTGATATTCGGAGCAAGTCCATGAATATTGAATCAGTTGCAACGCGTAAATATTCCCTTAATAGATCAAGTTAACGCTTACTCCTTAAACGATAACCACATGTCCTTTTATGCTTTTACAGTAAGTAGAAAGATCAAAATACATATTCTTTGTCTGACTGATAGTATAAAACCCTGTTGATTGTAATTATTCACCCGAGGAATAAACAGCGTTAGTTTTAATCCTTAATTTAACAATGTTTTCAAACATGTATGTATAATACTTTGGAAGTATCAAATGCAAACGAAATGAACATTAACTAACAGTCAAAAGTTCGATACAAATAATAATCAACCATCACGGGTTTAAGGCACCTTTGCCTCCCACTACCTGCAAATTTTATATCTAGAATAAACCCATGTTTCTCTTAGGAATACATTATTCCTGTTTCCGAGGTTGGAAACATTTGTTATGAACTATGACGTCACAATGGATGATGACGTCGCAAAGAATTGTCACCTGACGTCATAGTTATCTGATTGGCCAATGAAATCACGTTCAGCGTGTTACCAAGTAGTGGATAACCAAAAATATTTACCAACTCCTAGCAGGTGTATAGCCAATGAGTCGGAAGCGAGGAAACATACTGATTAAGGGGGGAATCAAATTACTGTGCATTGTAATACGTGATATTAATATAGGATCATTTCTATTGTTATTATTATAATTATATTAATTTACAAAGTGAATTCACACAACGCGAAATACACTACATAATGATTGTAACACTAAACATTATAGCTTCTGATTAGATTATGATAAATATATTACTATTATTGATATGTGATTTATATCAAGAAACAGTCTACATA